GCGCTGGCGCCTAGCGTGCTGGCGTCTAACGCGCTGGCGCCTAGCGCGCTGGCGCCTAAGGCCCTGGCGCCTAAGGCGCTGGCGCCTAGCGCGCTGGCGCCTAGCGCGCTGGCGCCTAGCGCCTGCGCCTAAGGCGCTGGCGCCTTGTGCTCTGGCGTCTAGCGCGCTGGCGCCTAGCGCGCTGGCGCCTAGCGGCTGGCGCCTAACGCGCTGGCGCCTAGCGCGCTGGCGCGTATGGCGCTGGCGCCTAGCGCGCTGGCGCCTATCGCGCTGGCGCCTAGCGCGCTGGCGTGTAACGCGCTGGCGCCTAGCGCGCTGGCGCCTAAAGCGCTGGCGCCTAAGGCGCTGGCGCCTTGTGCTCTAGCGTCTAGCGCGCTGGCGCCTAGCGCGCTAGCGCCTAGCGCGCTGGCGCCTAGCGGCTGGCGCCTAAGGCGCTGGCGCCTAGTGCGCTGGCGCCTAAGGCGCTGGCGCCTAGCGCGCTGGCGCGTATGGCGCTGGCGCCTAGCGCGCTGGCGCCTATCGCACTGGCGCCTAGCGCGCTGGCGTGTAACGCGCTAGCGCCTAGCGCGCTGGCGCCTAGCGCGCTGGCGCCTATCGCGCTGGCGCCGAGCGCGCTGGCTTCTAAGGCGCTGGCGCCTAGCGCGCTGGCGCCTAATGCGCTGGCGATTAGCTCGCTGGCACCTTGCAGCGTGCCGCGCGCTGGTGGCTTGTGCGTTGCTTGTTGCGGCAGTGCGCTGGCGAATTCCTGCAGCGGCCTTGCAGCGCTGCGCGCTGGCAAATTATTGCGCACGCCTTGCTCCAGTGAGCTCACGCCTTGCTCCAGTGAGCTCACGCGTTGCTACAATGAGCTCACGCGTTGCTGCAGTGAGCTCACGCGTTGCTGCAGTGAGCTCACGCCTTGCTGCAGTGAGCTCACGCCTTGCTGCAGTGAGCTCACGCGTTGCTGCAGTGAGCTCACGCGTTGCTGCATTGAGCTCACGCGTTGCTGCAGTGAGCTCACGCCTTGCTGCAGTGAGCTCACGCGTTGCTGCAGTGAGCTCACGCCTTGCTGCAGTGAGCTCACGCCTTGCTGCAGTGAGCTCACGCGTTGCTGCAGTGAGCTCACGCGTTGCTGCATTGAGCTCACGCGTTGCTGCAGTGAGCTCACGCCTTGCTGCAGTGAGCTCACGCCTTGCTGCACTGAGCTCACGCGTTGCTGCAGTGAGCTCACGCGTTGCTGCATTGAGCTCACGCCTTGCTGCAGTGAGCTCACGCCTTGCTGCAGTGAGCTCACGCCTTGCTGCAGTGAGCTCACGCCTTGCTGCAGTGAGCTCACGCCTTGCTGCAGTGAGCTCACGCCTTGCTGCAGTGAGCTCACGCCTTGCTGCAGTGAGCTCACGCGTTGCTCCAGTGAGCTCACGCCTTGCTGCAGTGAGCTCACGCCTTGCTGCAGTGAGCTCACGCCTTGCTGCAGTGAGCTCACGCGTTGCTGCAGTGAGCTCACGCCTTGCTGCAGTGAGCTCACGCCTTGCTGCAGTGAGCTCACGCCTTGCTGCAGTGAGCTCACGCCTTGCTGCAGTGAGCTCACGCGTTGCTGCAGTGAGCTCACGCGTTGCTGCAGTAAGCTCACGCCTTGCTGCAGTGAGCTCACGCGTTGCTGCAGTGAGCTCACGCCTTGCTGCAGTGAGCTCACGCCTTGCTGCAGTGAGCTCACGCCTTGCTGCAGTAAGCTCACGCCTTGCTGCAGTGAGCTCACGCCTTGCTGTAGTGAGCTCACGCGTTGCTGCAGTGAGCTCACGCGTTGCTGCAGTGAGCTCACGCGTTGCTGCAGTGAGCTCACGCGTTGCTGCAGTGAGCTCACGCCTTGCTGCAGTGAGCTCACGCGTTGCTGCAGTGAGCTCACGCCTTGCTGCAGTGAGCTCACGCGTTGCTGCAGTGAGCTCATGCCTTGCTGCAGTGAGCTCACGCCTTGCTGCAGTGAGCTCACGCCTTGCTGCAGTGAGCTCACGCCTTGCTGCAGTGAGCTCACGCCTTGCTGCAGTGAGCTCACGCGTTGCTGCAGTGAGCTCACGCGTTGCTGCAGTGAGCTCACGCGTTGCTGTAGTGAGCTCACGCGTTGCTGCAGTGAGCTCACGCGTTGCTGCAGTGAGCTCACGCGTTGCTGCAGTGAGCTCACGCCTTGCTGCAGTGAGCTCACGCCTTGCTGCAGTGAGCTCACGCGTTGCTGCAGTGAGCTCACGCCTTGCTGCAGTGAGCTCACGCGTTGCTGCAGTGAGCTCACGCCTTGCTGTAGTGAGCTCACGCCTTGCTGCAGTGAGCTCACGCCTTGCTGCAGTGAGCTCACGCGTTGCTGCAGTGAGCTCACGCGTTGCTGCAGTGAGCTCACGCGTTGCTGCAGTGAGCTCACGCGTTGCTGCAGTGAGCTCACGCCTTGCTGCAGTGAGCTCACGCGTTGCTGCAGTGTGCTCACGCGTTGCTGCAGTGAGCTCACGCCTTGCTGCAGTGAGCTCACGCCTTGCTGCAGTGAGCTCACGCCTTGCTGCAGTGAGCTCACGCCTTGCTGCAGTGAGCTCACGCCTTGCTGCAGTGAGCTCACGCCTTGCTGCAGTGAGCTCACGCCTTGCTGCAGTGAGCTCACGCGTTGCTGCAGTGAGCTCACGCGTTGCTGGAGTGAGCTCACGCCTTGCTGCAGTGAGCTCACGCGTTGCTGCAGTGTGCTCACGCGTTGCTGCAGTGAGCTCACGCCTTGCTGCAGTGAGCTCACGCCTTGCTGCAGTGAGCTCACGCCTTGCTGCAGTGAGCTCACGCCTTGCTGTAGTGAGCTCACGCGTTGCTGCAGTGAGCTCACGCCTTGCTGCAGTGAGCTCACGCCTTGCTGCAGTGAGCTCACGCCTTGCTGCAGTGAGCTCACGCCTTGCTGCAGTGAGCTCACGCCTGAGCTCACGCGTTGCTGCAGTGAGCTCACGCGTTGCTGCAGTGAGCTCACGCGTTGCTGCAGTGAGCTCACGCGTTGCTGCAGTGAGCTCACGCGTTGCTGCAGTGAGCTCACGCCTTGCTGCAGTGAGCTCACGCCTTGCTGCAGTGTGCTCACGCGTTGCTGCAGTGAGCTCACGCCTTGCTGCAGTGAGCTCACGCCTTGCTGCAGTGAGCTCACGCGTTGCTGCAGTGAGCTCACGCGTTGCTGCAGTGAGCTCACGCCTTGCTGCAGTGAGCTCACGCCTTGCTGCAGTGAGCTCACGCATTGCTGCAGTGAGCTCACGCGTTGCTGCAGTGAGCTCACGCGTTGCTGCAGTGAGCTCACGCGTTGCTGCAGTGAGCTCACGCGTTGCTGCAGTGAGCTCACGCGTTGCTGCAGTGAGCTCACGCCTTGCTGCAGTGAGCTCATGCCTTGCTGCAGGGAGGTCACGCCTTGCTGCAGTGAGCTCACGCGTTGCTGTAGTGAGCTCATGCCTTGCTGCAGTGAGCTCACGCCTTGCTGCAGTGAGCTCATGCCTTGCTGCAGTGAGCTCATGCCTTGTTACGGCAGCCCGTTTGCTCCTCTGCCAGTGCCTTGCTGCAACTCTCTGGCACCTTGTAGCATGGCGATGCCCAGCTCGTTGCACCAAGGCACCTTGCTCGCTGGAGCCTTGCTGCACACCAGCGTGGTGTGCGTGACCCCAGGGGATCTTTGCTTCAAACCACGCTTGTGAGTCGTCGAATTCGGTTATCTTTTGTACTTATCATATTTCTTTCAAGTTCCATTTCACAATCAAGTGCGTGTTCGTCATTGAATAGTTCACTCCGTTTTCCGACTACAATTCATTTTCTGCTTGACCTGTTTGTTTTGCAAGGTGTGCGAGACGCGTTGTGGGGAGCAGGGAGGGATCGAGAGAGAAGACAATGTGGAAATGGGTGGGAGGAGATTTCGATGGTAGAGGGAGAGGAAGGAAGGTAGAAAGGGGGAGTAAGGGGGGGGGACAAGGTAGCAGTGATTGATACATAATTAACTTATTGCAACTCTTTGTTATGCTTGTCTGCTCCCAAACCTATTTGTGTATGTATGTGTGTGCGGTGCGGGTGTGTTTGTGCGTGTGTGTGTTTATGTGTTGTCATTGTGTTTGTTTCACTGCGGGGTTTTACGCGCGTTTGCATTCGTGTTTGTGGGATGTGTGTTTCAAAGTGTGGTGTTAGTATGTGTTATGTATGCAATTAGAGGTTGTTAATCGTCTTTGGGGCAGCGTGTTTTCGCTGTTTCAACGACCCCATCAACCTCTGTTGCTGCATGATACATTTTAACATTCATTTTGAAGCATTCACTCCACCTCATACCTTGTTGTTCATTTGTACAATTGCATTCGTTCATGTCGATGCCAGAATGTTATGTCCGGCCGTACAATCCGCCGTATTTATCGACGAGGTTGTGACGGTCGAGCAAGTTCATGGTTTCAACATGATACGTACGTGCTTACATGTTTTGGGGATCTCATTCAAGAGTGTTTTTTATCCACTCTTTGAGGCATCCGTTTGAACACAGTTTCAAAACATTCAAACGAGTGCTCCAAAAAGTGCGTAAATAACACTCTTTGAATGATATCCCCAAAATGTGAAACCAAATATAAAGGGTTGCTACGCAACCCAAAAACTCGAGTCAAAAAAGCAAACTTTACAAATATTGCCGAAGGACACGCGCCCTTACGTGTTTCTCCTCTTTCCTCGTCCAGAGTAGCTTTCTGGCACAAGGCTGTGGACTAACGTAAGAGTTTCTCTCTCAGACTGGCAAGAACACCTGTTGGACGTCAGTTCCTTCTGCGAGCGCGACGGTGTCCAGTCTGCCTTTGCCTGCTGTGGTCTGCCGAGTGCAGAAACCCTAATTTGCGTTTCGCGAACCCCAAGTCTATCCGCGCGTAGTCAGGAATTGCCCGAGGAGTCATCAAGTTGGTAACTAGTCAGCAATTGGCAAGGGGCCAGCAGTGCGCAAGAAGCGAGCAATTGGCTCAAAGCTCTCAGAAAGCAGTCAGCAAGCACTCAGCGAACACTCAGACATGGGGACCGAGCGCAAGCGTAAGATCAGCCTCTTTGACGTTCCGCCGGAGACGAGCCGTCAGAAGGTGGACGGATTCGCAGATGCGACGTCGGCGGCGGCGGCTGTTATCGCCGCGGCGTCGGCGAATGTAATGGCCGCGGCGGCGGTGACGACGATAAACCCGTATAACGGCCGGCCGTACACGCAGCGGTATTTCGACATTCTCGAGAAGCGGAAAACGCTGCCGGTGTGGCAGCAGAAGCAGGAATTCGTGGATCTGTTGAAGAAACAGCAGATCATCGTGCTCGTGGGAGAGACGGGTAGCGGGAAAACCACGCAGGTTAGTCGTCGTGGCTCACTACCATACAGAAAGTCTTGAATATTGCCGATCTGCTGAAGACTCATAAGCAGCAGATCATCGTTCTTGTGGGAGAGACGGGTAGCGGGAAAACCACGCAGGTTAGTGGTCAGTGCGTGCTTGGTCGACGCTCTGATGAAACCCTTGAAATCGCCGATCTTGTGAAATTTCCTGAGGAGTTTTCTAGACGCAGGTGGCGTGCACGTGTTTGAGATGCTAGAGTGGAGTGTCTGAACGCCTCGTCCTCCCCTCGTCTTCCCAACCATATCTCGCAATTCGTCGTGGCGTGTCTGAACGCGACGCCTAAGAAGCAGGTGGCGTGCACGTAATTGCGACGCTTCTGCGCTCTCCTTAACCCCTTACTCCCCTATAAATCGTACCGCCCCAGATCCCGCAATTCGTGGTGGAGTGTCTGAACGCGACGAACAAGAAGCAGGTGGCGTGCACGCAGCCGCGGCGGGTGGCCTTTGAGTCCTCTTAGAACCTCCCTCCCTCCCCTGCAATGCAATTCCGCGTCTCCCCAACCAGATTCCGCAATTCGTGGTGGAGTGTCTCAACGCGACGAACAAGAAGCAGGTGGCGTGCACGCAGCCGCGGCGGGTGGCCTTTGAGTCCTCTTAGAACCTCCCTCCCTCCCCTGCAATGCAATTCCGCGTCTCCCCAACCAGATTCCGCAATTCGTGGTGGAGTGTCTGAACGCGACGAACAAGAAGCAGGTGGCGTGCACGCAGCCGCGGCGGGTGGCCTTTGAGTCCTCTTAGAACCTCCCTCCCTCCCCTGCCATGCAATTCCGCGTCTCCCCAACCAGATTCCGCAATTCGTGGTGGAGTGTCTCAACGCGACGAACAAGAAGCAGGTGGCGTGCACGCAGCCGCGGCGGGTGGCCTTTGAGTCCTCTTAGAACCTCCCTCCCTCCCCTGCAATGCAATTCCGCGTCTCCCCAACCAGATTCCGCAATTCGTGGTGGAGTGTCTCAACGCGACGAACAAGAAGCAGGTGGCGTGCACGCAGCCGCGACGAGTGGCGGCGATGTCGGTGTCGCGGCGAGTGGCGGACGAGATGGACGTGACCATCGGCGAGGAGGTGGGCTACTCCATCCGATTCGAGGACTGCAGCGGTCCCAAAACCAGCCTCAAGTGAGTTGAGTTGTTTCAGGGCTGGCTGTGCAGGCTGTCGGTCAGTCAAGGGGTGCCAATGCCAAGGGTGCCTACAGTGAGGGTGTCTATGGCTAGGGTAGGTTGTGCACAGGGCATAGATGCCATGGCGCGCGCGCATCCGTGGGCGAGTGGCGGACGAGATGGACGTGACCATCGGCGAGGAGGTGGGCTACTCCATCCGATTCGAGGACTGCAGCGGAGCGGACCCAAGACCTCCCTCAAGTGAACCGCTGGTAGTTAGACTTAAGTGACAGAGAGCTGCTTCTGCGCGGTAGGCCTAGACTGAGAAGGGCTGCAGCAGGCCCAAGACCAGCCTCAAGTGAGTCCATTCAAACGTGCAATTTACAGAGCGCTGGTAGCAAGGGTGCGTCTGTATCTCGTCTTTTCCCTGTCACCCACCCACCCACCCACCCACCAGGTACCTGACTTAACTGACGGTGTGCGTTCGCGGGAGGCCATGGCGGACCCGCTGCTCGAGTGGTACAAGGCGTTCCTAACTCTGCTCTCTGCTCTTTTATACCTTCTCCTGTACCTTTGTAACCAGGTATCTGACCGATGGTATGCTTTTGAGAGAAGACATGGCGGACCCGTTGCTCGAGAGGTACAAGGCGATCATTCTGGACGAGGCGCACGAGCGCACGCTGGCGACGGACGTGCTGTTTGGGCTGCTCAAGGCCGTGCTGGAGCACCGCAAGGAGTGGTGCAGCGCAATCAGTGTGTAGACAGGGCTCACGAACAATCTCCCTCATTTCCCTCCCTCACTCCCCTCTTCTGTGTTTCCCCTTTCCCGCTCGATCGCAACCAACCAGGTATCTGACCGATGGTATGCTGCTAAGGGAAGCCATGGCGGATCCTCTACTCGAGAGGTACAAGGCGATCATCCTAGACGAGGTGCACGAGCGCACTGCCTCATTTCCCTCCCTCCTCTCCCCATCCGCCTCGTAACAGATACCTCACGGATGGTATGCTGTTGAGAGAGGCCATGGCCGATCCCCTGTTGGAGAGGTACAAGGCGATCATTCTGGACGAGGCGCACGAGCGCACGCTGGCGACGGACGTGCTGTTTGGGCTGCTCAAGGCCGTGCTGGAGCACCGGAAAGACCTCAAGCTCGTCGTCATGAGCGCCACTCTCGAGGCCGAGAAGTTTCAGGGCTACTTCCACGGCGCGCCCCTCATGAAGGTCCCCGGCAGGCTGCACCCCGTAGAGATTTTCTACACTCAGGTGGGCAGGGCAGGGAAGAGGGGAGGAGGCAGGGGGAGGAAGGGTGCGGATCCACATGTGTGATACCCTCCTCCAAAGGGGATACCCTCCTCACCCCACTCACTTATCCTATTCCACCCCACTCTCCCTTTACCCTTCCTTCTCCCCCACCCCAGGAGCTGGGGCGGGAGTACCTGGAAAGTGCTATCTGCACCGCATGGTGGTGCAGTGCAGATGTGAGAGCCTTCTCATGTCACTGACTTGCTCGTCTTAACTCACTTGCTTCCACCTCTAACTCTCCTTCCCGTCTTACAGGAGCCAGAGCGGGACTACCTTGAATCTGCCATCCGCACGGTGGTGCAAATCCACATGTGTGAGCCTTTAACTCTATAACCCGAACCACAAAACCCCTTTTGATTTTACAGGAGCCAGAGCGGAACTACCTAGAAGCAGCCATTCGCACGGTGGTGCAGATCCACATGTGTGAGCCGCCGGGGGACATTCTCACGGGGGAGGAGGAGATTGAGGACGCGTGCAAGAAGATCGCCCGCGAGGTGCACAACATGGGCGACCAGGTGGGGCCCGTCAAGGTCGTCCCGCTCTACTCACACTCCCCCGCTCTCCCCTCTCTTCCCCATTCCGCCTCCCCCTCCTTCCTCCGCCTCCCCTCCCACCCTCCGCCTCCCCTCTCCTCTCCGCCTCCCCTCGTCCCCCCTTCCCCACACTCCACAGGAGCCTGAAAGGGACTATCTTGAAGCGGCCATTCGCACGGTGGTGCCGATCCACATGTGTGAGCCTTCAAAGGGGATGGAGATCTCCCTTGTCTCACTCACTCATTTGTTCCACCCCATACTCCCCTTCCCCTTTGCTCACCCACCCCTTCAACCCCTTCCCCCTCCCCCCCCCCCCCCCTCCTCCCTTCCAACAGGAGCCTGAAAGGGACTACCTAGAAGCAGCCATTCGCACGGTGGTGCAGATCCACATGTGTGAGCCGCCGGGGGACATTCTCGTGTTCCTCACGGGGGAGGAGGAGATTGAGGACGCGTGCAAGAAGATCGCCCGCGAGGTGCAGAACATGGGAGACCAGGTGGGGCCCGTCAAGGTCGTCCCGCTCTACTCCACTCTGCCGCCCGCCATGCAGCAGAAAATCTTCGACGCTGCCCCGCCGCCCGTGAAAGAAGGCGGGCCGCCCGGCCGAAAAATCGTCATTTCCACAAACATCGCGGAAACCTCCCTCACGATCGACGGAATCGTCTACGTCATCGACCCGGGTTTCTCCAAACAGAAGGTCTATAACCCGAGGATTCGAGTCGAGTCGCTCCTAGTCTCCCCGATCTCCAAAGCCTCGGCGCACCAGCGAGCGGGTCGAGCCGGCCGAACGCAGCCCGGGAAATGCTTCCGCCTCTACACGGAACGCTCCTTCCAAAAAGACCTCCAGGAGCAAACCTACCCGGAAATCCTCCGATCGAACCTTGCCAACGTCGTGCTAACCCTAAAAAAGCTCGGAATTGACGATCTCGTGCACTTTGACTTCATGGATCCGCCCGCCCCGGAGACCCTGATGAGAGCGCTGGAGCTGCTGAACTACCTGGGCGCGCTGGACGATGAGGGGAATCTGACCAAGCTGGGCGAGCTCATGAGCGAGTTTCCATTGGACCCGCAGCTCTCCAAGATGCTCGTTGTGTCCCCCGACTACAACTGCTCCAATGAGATCCTCTCGATTACCGCCATGCTCTCAGGTTGGTTGGCTGAATGGTGGGCTGGTTGGCTGAATGGTGGGTTGGTTGGCCGGTTTGTCGGGGTCTCTCATTGGCCTTGTTGCCTGCGTGTGCTGGGGGGTAATGCCGGTGCTGTCTGGGACAGTGGTGGTGTCGCTGGGCTAACTGCTCCAATGAGATCCTTTCCATACCGCCATGCTCTCAGGGGGTGGTTGGCGAGTTGGTTGTCAGTTGCATTGGTCATGTTGTTTGCATGTGCTGGGGGAGAATGTCGGTGCTGTCCAAGATGCTGCTCGTGGTGTTGCCAAATTGCAACTGCTCCAATGAGATCCTTTCCATACCGCCGTGCTCTCAGGTTGGCTGGTTGGTTGGTGGGTAAGAATGTCAGGTTTGCCTGTCATCAAGTCTCAGCCTCACTTGCATTTTTACTTCCGTGTCTGCTGGTATATTAGCACTTCGAGTGCATTCTGACTTGTTTGTTTTCTGCCAGTTTCACTATAAACCGTACCTAACCTCTCTGCTTGCAGTGTGTTGCTTTACTCTCTCGTCCTCTGCTGCTACTGCAGGAGGACCCCCCTACATGCACTCCCCCTATTGTCACCACCCGTGCCACCACCATTGCCACCACCACCTCTGCTGCTACTCCCATCACCTTCCTAAACTCGACCTAATGATTCCTTCCGCTCCTCCGCTGCTGCCACCGCCCGTACCTACATGCTGACACACCGGACCTGTCGCCGAACCACCACGTCGTTCTTTTTGCCGAACTTGGCACCGCTTCTCGTTCTCTTTCCCTTACTCCTCCCCCCATCCTCCTCCCGCTCCTCCTCCCCGTCCTCCCAATCCTCCTCAACTTCCTCCTCCGCCTCCTCCTCTTCCTTCTCCAACTGCCAACCTCACCCACGCTGCATCAACCACCCTCTCCGGCCCTTGCCAGTGCCCAACTGCTTCATTCGCCCGCGGGAGGCGCAGAAGCAGGCGGACGAGGCCAAGGCGCGCTTCTCCCACGAAGACGGCGACCACCTCACTCTCCTCAACGTTTTCCACGCCTACAAGCAGAACGGTGAGTGGGTCTGTTGAAATGTCTTACAGTGTACAGGCAGGTCAGGGTGTGTGTGAATTGAAGTGGTGGTGCTTTTGAGACAGAGGCAGGCGGACAAGGCAAGGCGAGCTTCTCTTCTCCCACGAGAATGGCGACCACCTCACCCTCCTCAACGCCTTGCACGGGTACAAGCAGAACGGTGAGCGACTTGGGGTTGGGGAGTCTGTAGTGGCGACCACCTCACGAGGCGATCACGAGCATGGCGACCACCTCACCCTCCTCAACGCCTTCCACGCGTACAAGCAGAACGGTGAGCGACTTGAAACGATCTACATGTGTGTAGGAGCGATTCAGTGACAGTGCGTTGTGTGTGAGTTAGTTGGTGGTTCGTTTGAGTTGAGTCGGAAGCTGGCGGGCGAATCTAAGGCACACTTCTTTTCTCCCACAAGGATGGCCACCACCTCACTCACTCTGCTCGTGGCACTGGCACATCAGGTCAGGAGGATGCGGTACGCACTCAAGATGACTTTTGAGTCGACTCATAAGTCACCTCACTCACTCTGCTGGTGGCACATGAGGTCAGGATGCGGTACACTGTCAATCAACACTCCCCTCACTCTGCCACGCCCTTCCGTTACCCACCACCAAGCGAGGACCCCAGCTGGTGCCATGGCAACTGTGTCAATGCACGGGCTTTAAAGGCAGTGGTCAATGTGCGGAACCAGCTGGTGCGCATCATGATGCGCTACGGACACGAGCTGTGCTCCCCTCCGTCTGTCACTCCCATACCTTATTCACCTCCTTACTCACCACACCACCAGGAGAAGACGCTAGGACAACTTTGTCAGCGCCAGAGCCCTCAAGGCAAACCCTTATTCTCATGCGCTCCCATGTGCTCCCCTCTCCACCAAACCTTACCCACCACCAGGCGAAGACGCTAGCTGGTGCTACGACAATTTTGTCAACGCCCGGGCCCTCAAGGCGGCGGACAACGTGCGCAACCAGCTGGTGCATGCACACTCCCCACCTGTTCCTTTCTCTCCTCCCCCCTCCCTTTTCCCACCAGGCGAAGACGCTAGCTGGTGCTACGACAACTTCGTCAACGCCCGGGCCCTCAAGGCGGCGGACAACGTGCGCAACCAGCTGGTGCGGATTATGATGCGCTACGGGCTCAAGATGTGCTCCACGGCGTTTGAGTCGTCCGCCTACTACCCCAACATTCGCAAGGCTCTCTTGGCCGGATTCTTCATGCAGGTAGGGAGTGGAGGGAGGTGGCTGGGTTGGGGGAGGGGAGGAGAGGAGGTGGAAAGGGGAGAGGATGTACGTGGTGGGGGGGGGAGGGGGGTGTGTGTGTGGGTGCATGGGTGTGTGGATGTGTGTGCGTGTGTCTGCGAGTGTATGTGTGCGTGAGTGGGTGTGTGTGTGTGTGTGCTTGCGTGTGCATGTGTGTGTGCTTGCGTGTGCATGTGTGTGTGCTAGGAGATTGTGGGAGGGAGGATGGAACTGCAGCTGTGTGTACTTGCTCCGGTTCCCTGGACTGCCTGTGTGTGCTTCTCCCAGACCTTAGCAACCTTTTCACACATCCCATCCCCTACCCCTCCCTCTTCGTCTCTCCACTCTCTTCTTGTTGTTTTACAGCCCCCCACTCTCCTTTCCTTTCACTTCCCCTTGCCCAATCCCCCCACCCCTTCCTCTGTCCGCATCTTATTTCCCTCAACCCCGCATGTCGTTTACCTTTGCCCACGTCTCTGGAACACAGCATATAAGCAGTCCCTTCTGCTCTCCCCCATCCATCCCCGGCTTCCCGCTGTTCCCCCATGCGTGCACCCCGCTCCTGTCCTCCTCTCTACCCCACACAGGTGGCACATTTGGAGAGGACAGGGCACTATTTGACAGTCAAGGACAATCAGGTGGGCCAAACAATTAGGATAACCTGGTGACTAAGTGAGCAGCACTTAGTGACGAGTACTTAGGTGAGCAGCACTTGATGTGAGTTCACTGCAAGCTTGTTTTGTCTTCCGCAGTTCTCGTCTCATCTCAACATCCCACCTCTCCTTTGTGTCCTCTCCGCTTTCACCCACTAACGAGGTGACTTTGAGTCAACTCAAAAGTCACCTAGTTCACTGCAAGCTCGTTTGATTTACCAGGTCTCGTCTCATCTCAACATCCCACCTCTCCTTTGTGGTCTCTCCGCTTTCACCCACCTCCCTCTCCCCCCTCTTCCCTCCCCCCTCTCCCACTGCAGATCGTGCATTTGCATCCGTCAACAGGCCTGTCCCACAAGCCAGAGTGGGTGATCTACAACGAGTTTGTGCTCACCACCCGGAACTTCATCCGCGTTGTCACCGACGTCAAGGGCGACTGGTGCGTACGAGGAGGAGTTAGGGATGAGTGGTGCATGTGTGGTGGTGGTAGGGGCTTACAGGTGGGGGTTTTGCATGCCAGACACTCCCTCTCACAACCACGACTTGACCAACTTCCCTCAGTGCAATCAGCATCTTTTTTGCAACTATCTGCCCGTCTTCCTCTAATCCCTCTACCCTCACCACCAGGCTGCTGGTCATCGCCCCACTTTTATATGACTTTGCCAACTACCCCCGAAGTGTCTCATCCTCTATCCACGGCACCTACCTCTTCTCTCTCCCCCAACCGCACCTCCTCTTACCCCTCTACCCCAACCAGGCTGTTGGACATTGCCCCTCACTACTGCGACCTGGCCAACTTCCCTCAGTGCGAACCCCAACCTTCTCTGCAACTCCCTCCACTGCTGCTCTCCACTCCCCTTCTTTCACCTCTCCTCTACCCCAACCAGGCTGTTGGACATAGCCCCTCACTACTACGACCTCGCCAACTTCCCTCAGTGCGAGGCGCGGCGAGTGCTGGAGCGCATCGTGCTCGTGCGCAACCGGGACAGAGTCGAGGCAGCTAAAAAGGGGGATAGCTAGTCCATGCAATGGAATGAGTTGGGGTTAAAATGCACACCTGTGGAGTTTGGCGTTTCAGTCGCCTGCTGCCGTAATAAACCAGAACCTCTTTCCAAGAAATGCGACACGAGCTGGTGTGAAGAGAATGCAAGAAGACGCTTGTATGAAACCTGGAGAGCGTCGACCTGTATGACATGGCGACATTTATGTGATATAGGGATTCGATTTGTACACTGCTACATGTGCGAAACGGAAAATGCAGTACAGTACTAACATGACATGAGTGCCATAAGAAATGCTTAGCATTTTATCATACCGTACCGTTGCTAAAATCGTTTCGTCTTATATCTCTGCGGTAGCTTAGTGCACAGGCCATTCTTCCCAGGGCTTCGAACTGGTACAAGCTAAACACATGTACACAGTACAAGCTATCATATTTAACCCCAATGATAGACACACCAACAAACACTATGATTATGAATCAATGCCCAGCATTGGCTGCACTACAAGTTGCGATCTAACTACATGGAGCCCATCACTCCAAGTGATGCTACCAGGAGAAAACCTTGCTCTGGCTATTGTTGGGGTTATCCATACCGAGTACCAAACACTTTGGTTTGGATATATAGTAAACTGGGAAGGAATCACTTTTACCTCCGTACCTTCTGGCACTTCAAGTGTGCAAGTGTACTTCGTAGCACGTAACGCCACGTTGGTAACCCGCCGGGTAACCTGGACCGTCTTGTTCAGCCGCGCGACGACAATGTTTGGCTGGTTGAGCATGTAAGGCTTTACCGGGTCCAATTTTATCGGGCGAAAAATCCCCTTCGTAAGCCCGTAGCGAAGACCCGCGAGAAAATTTATGTACCCCTCGATTCCGACATCGTAGACCAATCCGGGGCTGAGAACTCGCGAGGGAACCACGTGTCCCGATCCGGTCACCCAGGGATTCGCATCGACCCACGTGGACATTTGAATCGGCTGCCCCCACGCGTCTTTCACTCGCGCTGTGGTCATGAGAGCGGATTTCACCGCAGCCGGCGTCCAATCGGGATGCTTCTGCATCACCATCACTGCGATCCCAGCCACACACGCCGCCGAAACCGACGTTCCAGATTGCATCGAGAACCCCGGGGAGTTTCCGTAGGCCGCCGCAGCGAGGATAGTCAATCCCGGAGCAACTAAATCGGGCTTTAAGACGTCGTTGGTGATGGTGGGAAGGGCCCGGTACGGCCAGCCTGGGCGGTACGGCGGTCCAGAAGATGAGAAATATGCCATTATCGGCGCTCGGACTTTTCTCGGCTGCTCCAAAACGAGGTGGGAGAGAGTAGCAGTGGGACTCGCCGTTTTCATGATGTAATCCCTTATAAGCACACCCTTGGGGTACCCAAAGGAAATCACCGGGAAATTCCCGCTCACGCTGCGCACGCTCTCGTTAGAGTTCCTCGGTATAAGCACCATGCCTCGCGCCCCTGCGTCCTGAACCGTCCTAGCTTTCTTCTCCGGACTGATCCCACCGATATAACACAAGACGAGTCCGCCGCCCACTTTCTCGGCGTCGATCTTCCCCGGGCGGCACTGCCGCGCCTCCCAAAGGGCGGCGCCTTTGGCATGGGCCTCTTCCGAGTCGATGAGGGGGAGGTTGGCGGTTAGCACGCCGTCGCCGCCCGTCTGAGTGACCCCGAAGAGTGCGGTGCCGTTGCCGAGGGTAAGCGTGGCGCTCCACTCGCGGTCCGTGGCACTGGGAGGAAGGGGAGGAAGGGGTGAAGGGCGGGGAGGGGGATTGTGGAGGGTGGGGGAAAAGAGCCGTCTGAGTGACCCCGAAGAGCGTGGTGCCGTTGCTGAGAGTGAGAGTAGCACTCCACTCGCGATCAGTGGCACTGCGGGGAGAGGAGTGGTCCGGGTAAGCCCGAAAAGCACAGTTCCACTGCCAAGGGTGAGCGTGAGGGTGATGGACCATTGTTGGTCCCCCAACCAGAGGAACATCCATTATTGCACGTCTTTGTCACTGTTGGTCCCCTCACACACAGCTTCCCACTTCCCCACCTCCCCCACTCCCATCCTTCCCTCCTCCCGCCCTCCCCTCTTTCCCATCCTGCACCCACCCCGTGCCCCTTTCTTGTCTCGTGCTTTCCCCTCCCCCCTGCTTCCGCTGCCTGTCTCACCTTGCCCCGACTGTGAGTATGTAGGGGGCGACATTCGTTAGAGTGCGCCAATAGGTGGGCGTTGGGGGAGGGCCGTTGTTGCCTGCTGGCGCCACCACCAGCACACCCGCCTGCAAAGAGAACGGGGGATGGATAGAGAGAAAATAAACAAATAAAAATTGTGAACAAAATCAATAAATACTTAGTATAGGAAAGTATGTTAATGCTTGAATATCCGATTAGGGAGGGGTACACCCATCCACCCACCTGAACCGCGCGTAACAAAAAGATGGAGTTGAAATAATTGTCGTCCGTGCCGCCGACCGCGAGGGACAACACATCAACCCCGTCCTTCACCGCGTCTTCGACAGCAGCCATGACGTCAGCAAGGCTGCTCATGCCGCCCCAAATCACTTTGTACACCGCGATGCGCGCGCGAGGCGACACTCCGCTGAGCGACCCGAGAGTGGCGTAGTTCACCTTCACTCCCGCATTCCCTGCCGCGACGCTGGGGGAGACGAGAGAAGGGGAAGAGGAGACGGGGGGGGAAGAGAGTTGTGGGGTGGGTTGAGGGGGAATAAGGTTAAGAGAGACGGAGGCGCTGACGTGGAGGCGCTACGCCGGTGGAGGAATCAGGGGGGCCGTGATTCACCTTCACGCGCGCTGCCGTGAAGCAAGTGAACAGAAAGCGAGCTGCGAAAGAAAGAAGCTTCCTTAGCTTGCGACGGACTGTTGCCACTCGTTACCTGCCCCGTGTGTGATGAGACGATTCTTAAGTCGACTAAAAAATCGCCTCATCACACACGGAATTGCCTGCTGCCACCCGTGGTGACGATTCTTGACTCGATTCAAAAGTCGACTGCCTGCTGCCTTTGAGGCGCCTCATGGGCTGCCCGCTGCCACCTGCTCCATTTCCCGCGTTGCGTGCCCCGTGCCCCGCATTCCACCCCCCCATTGCCCCGCGACCCGCGCTTCATGCCACACCAAGAATCACCCAGCGCTGAAAGTGCCGTACCCTATGACCAGGAGCTCCATCCGTCCCTTTTTCGCCGTGCCCCGCGCCCCGCGCCCCGTGCCCCGTGCCCCGAGCCTGGTGCCCGGTTTCCCCCGCGCAAAGACTCACCCCGCGCAGAACGTGCCGTGTCCCATGGCGTCGCGCGGCGACCGGTACTCCCTCTTCGCCAACGCGCCCGCGCCGTACTCTTGTAGAAACCCGTCCATATAGTACCGCGCCCCGACGATCTTATTGTTACACCCGTTAAAGTCACGCGTGACGTTACAAACCCCGCGCCACCCCGTCAGAAGTTGCGACCCGGAATATCCGCGACCCGAGAACGACGGATGCTGCGGCCATATCCCCGAGTCGACGAATCCGATTACCGTGTTATCGCCAGCGTATCTCGCGCCGCCAAACGCGGCCCACGTGGTCCGGGGCAGCTGCAGGAATTCCGGGACGTGCGTCATCATTGGTCGAAGCGATCGCATCCGCGAAACGCGGTGCACGCCAGGATGCCGCTTTAATAACCGGACCTGGTCGGACGTAAGGCGCACCGCGAACGCGTTGGCCACATAGTGGTAGCTATAGACTAAGTCCGAGCCGCTTAGTCCGATGTCTGCTAGGGTCTCCTCGTGTGTGGATCTTAAATGCTGCGCGTAAGCCTTAACGTGCGGCGATGACGGGTCCGGTCGATGCGCCTTGGCCCTCTCCCTCGTCTTGCTGCTTCCCCCCTTGCTTTCCCCGCTGCTGCCTGTCAAACCCCGACGAATGCTGCCGCCCATTAGCGCGCCAGCTCGTAACCGTCTTTCCTGCAGTCGTCTCTTGCGAAACCGGGTGTCTTGTAACCCTTCGCCTTGTGACCATCTTTCGCTTAGGCGACGATGCTGTGTATGTCTCGGTAGTGCGTGACTCGCTTCTACATCTTGTTCACCCTCCTGTAACAGCTTCCTCCTACCTCGCGAATCCTCTGTTCGCGAGTCTCCTGCGGGTAACGGTTCCTCTTGTAACCCTGGCTCCTCCTCGAACAGTGCCTCCTGTTCGTCTTGTAGACGTCTTTCGTCAATCTGCATAGCCGAAATTCCTTCGCCACCCCTCTCTCCCCTCACGCTACCGCCCTTCCGATCTTTTATCGCATCCCTAACCGACCTATCGCCCCCTTCCTTGTAACCGTCCCTTCTCTCGTTACCACCGTCGCTACTATCACTATCTCTATAATCCCCGTAGTAATCCCGATAATCGTAATCACCAGCCTCCCCTCGTTTGCTTCTTTCGTTTCCCAGTCTTACACTCTCCTCCTCCTCCTCCGCCTCCTCTACCTCTTCCTCCTCCTCCTCTTCCTCTGTAGCAGCGGCTGTAGCCGTCGCCTGTAGACCGTCCACGCCGCCGTGATAGCTTATCACGGGCGGCAGCGCCTTCATGTACACCGTGTAGAGCTGCCGGCTGTAGCTCACGGACCCCAGCGACACGTGGCGGGAGATCGAGGCGGCGGCGGAGGAGGAAGAGGTCGGCTGCGATTCCGTGTTTGTACGCGTTACAAGGGTCGCCGAAACAAGCAGAGTTATCAACAGCGGTAACAGTGCCGTCTGGGATTTCCGTGTCATGGTGAAGTGCGGTTGCCCCTCGCGAGGAGTTTATCCCCGATATTGCCAACTCGTATGGCACGTTGATGATAGTCTCAGGTCCAGTTTATCCCCGATATTGCTGTGAGCATCTGCGCCCATGCATTAGGCGCAACAAAAGGAGGCTTCGCAAATCCGAGTACTGAAAAGCTCGGGAAGAGGCTCGTTTCTCACTGACACTGGCGACTCGGTAGCACAGAACCGACAGTAAGCGACAGGACAATCGGTCACACGGACGCGACAGTAAGCGACAAGGCGATT